TTTATTATTCTGAAAGACAAACATAATAAAGAAATGCCTTTTATTATTAAACGAATAATCCGATACAAGTACCAAAAAGTATTGGCCTCTAGGGCTTACACCAACACGACATGCCCATTTCAGAATCACAATCACTCTCCCACAAATGAATTATCTCTTAATTCCTCACAATCTTCTCTCAATCACTCACCACTTTATGCATTGAAGCAATTCAATCTCAAGAGTTCTCATCAATCTCTAGTAACAACCTCAATTCCTACAGACTAAGAATTTTATATAATTGGAAAAAGATGATAACAAGAAGATAATGAGTTGCAGACTTAGAGTTTACCTGAGAAGAGATCATCTTCGTGATTGTTCATCATCTTCAACAATCTATAGAATCTGGCGCCATCTTATACATTGTAGGTTAGATTCTTGTTCCTTTCATCAATTCACACTAATCATGGTGTCCCATGTAGATTCAAGGTTGAGGAATCAAACCCTTAGCCGTTGAGGATTTGATTCCTCCATTTTAGAGTTTAATTTGTGAATGAGGATTTTAGGGTTCGTTAGAATTTTGCTTCGGTTAGGGTGTTATGATAGGAATTATGAAAGATTGAGGGTGGATTAGTGGAGAGGGCGAGAATAAGATAACGATGATGTGGAAAAGTGACATATGTTTTCCAAAATTACAGGTAACATAAGAGTGCCTTTTTCCACCAATTCCTTACACTTTGATCCCCTTTAACAAACCTGAGAGGCAGGGCTTGAAGACCTTACGTGTCCTAAGTTCTTTGGGCTGCATTGTTGTGATGCTCATTGGATTGCAAGAAAGAAATAGATTTGCCTTGCCACTCTCCTACAAAAGGACTTGACCCGACTTCAAATGAAGAAGAAGAAACAGTGGAAGCTTCCATGTCATTATTTGACTGACTATTATCTCTTACATTTTTGCTATCATGGTCGTGGTATTGTTCTTGTTCATCCAAAGGCAGTAGCTCCATAGTGCGGTGTGTTGTGTTCCATGTGGCAACCGTATGAAAATTGCCAGCATCGGGCAAGTTCAAGACTTTGTTGTCTCCAGATTCCCAAAGTAGAGTGCCGTGTTGGTTGACAATGATGAACTTGAAGTCAAGGTGATTGCCAACGTTGAAATGTAAGTCGCATACCCTTCCATTTGGTGCCCAATTGAATGGAACACTAGTCTTCCAAGAATCGAATTGTTTGAGTGATCTTAGAAGTTCAACATGGTCACCGAATTGAACTTGACGATCCCATCAGTCAGTGACATCAAAAGACAAATAACATAGAGAATTATCATCAGAAGAACAATTTGGAACTACAATGTTATGAAACATCAAATAGTTAAAAAAATGTCAGCTGCAGAATGCATAAATTTTCAAAAGCTAGAAAATAAATCATTGTAACTTCAAAGTGGTACCCACACATTGGTATTTACACGTCCAAATTTGAGAAATGTTAAAGTCCGACTATAGTTTTTTTCCTTCTAGATTCTGTTGTTCTAACAATTGAGGCATTGAGCATTCATCTCATACCCATCATCACTCACTATCTTATCAAAGCTGTCCAGAGTTATTATTACTGTTTCATTAAGAAGAATTAGATGTAACTGTATTTGTGCAGTTGTTCTGTTTAAAGGTTTTTTTATCTTTACAAAATTCTATGCAACTACTGTTGTCATGATTGTTTCTATATTGTGAAATATTGCATGATTTGACTTTGGTGTGGGTTCTCTTTTGTGGTTCTCATTTTGGTTTACATGTGGCTAGACTGTCTTTTGTAGTATATATTAATGAATAACACCAATTATGTTCCCTGTTAAGTGTTAAAAGGTAGCGAGTAGAATTTTTCGCCCAATTTTTTTTGTTGGTACCGCATTAATATTTGCATTTGTTGCGAGTTTGATACTTTATCTGGCTATCCTATTTATGTACTTCCTTTGATAAGAATTGACAAGTCTATGAAAGCATAATTCAGACATTATACCGTATTTGGTTTGTGTGTAAAATTTGGCGATCGAGGAATTAAGACTTGTGTTGTGTGTGTCTCATTCATAATTTGGCAGATGACAATTCCTTTGAATATTAAAAGGAAGTAGAAAGAATCCTTATGGCATCAAAATCAAGCATTTTCTACTAAATGGTGCACTATGTGTAGTCATCGTCTCATAAAAAATTTCACAATTAACCTAAACAAAAGGACGTCGTAATGAATCAGAAATCAAAGATAAAACGAAATAAAGAAGTGGAACGACTTACAAACACTGAGAATGAGGACAGGAGATGATGAAAGGAAACAACCGATGACTGGAACGCGAGAGGGTGGTCGGGAAGTAGGGAAGGCGACGATATGCTTTGAGATGAGAGATTTTATTTGAAAGGCATGATAAGAAGAACAATTACTTTGTGTGATTGATGTAATTATAAACGACATTGCCATCTGCAAAACCAACATGTGTAGCAGGAAGCACATGAAGATTTGCTATAACTCCATTCGCAAAATCCTCATTGTTAACCAATACCATTCCAATAACACCTACGCGAGAAGCTTGCACTCCCTTATTAACTCTAGCAGTCTCACCTCGAAGACATACCAATATTTTTCCTTTAATCTTTTTTAGATCCAGAGTTTCTTCTTTGCAAATAGAGCTACGTGCGTACACAGATTAAATAAATTAAAACATATCATATTCACTATAAGAAAGTTATTTGAAACAATTAACTTGAAGGAAGAAAGAAAAAGAAGAAATTCTTACGCACCGATGGAAAACACTTTACCAAATTTAGAATCTGCACCACTTATCAATGGATATAATTTGTTAGGTGGTAAGTTCAACTCTGAAAGACTAACTCCCTTGCATATTTTTTTTATTACCAAGAATAACATAACTTGTGAAGTCTTTGTGGATTGTGAATTTCCTCTAGAAGCCACAACAATGATGTTGTTAGCAATTGCATGGAAGGAACCTATGAAAATAGCATTTGTAAAAAACTCATGTGGAGAATTTCCACCCAAGAACACAAAAAATACATAAACACCATCACTTATGGCAGTGGTGGTGATGATGGTGGGTGGAGAAAGGGGGTGACGATTGATCTAGGGTTTGTGGGGAAACAGAGAAAACGAAAGAGAGAGAAATGTGAAAAATGAAAGTGTGAAAAAAGAAAAATGTGATTTTGAAATTGGAATGGAGACTAATCAGAGTGTGATAACTGTAATGCAAAGAGAGATATGTGAATTTTGTATTTGAAACATTTATTAATTACTTATTTGTCTAAATTGTAATGTAAATAAAAATTGGAGGAAGGACAAATATGTAAGATCGTGCAATTAAATTTTAAAAGGTTTATTATATATATATATATATATATATATATATATATATATATATATATATATATATATATATATATATATATATATATATATATATATATATATATATATATATATATATATATATATATATATATATATATATATATATATAAAAGTTAGAGAACAATTACTATGTATTAATACTACAAATTTTTTTAGACAAATGTCTTAATTAATAGACCACTGTAGTTATTTGTAATTGTTTCTTAATATATTTTTCTTCACTTTAAATTTTCCCACCATTACTTTAGCGTGTATATATATATATATATATATATATATAAAAGTTAGAGAACAATTACTATGTATTAATACTACAAATTTTTTTAGACAAATGTCTTAATTAATAGACCACTGTAGTTATTTGTAATTGTTTCTTAATATATTTTTCTTCACTTTAAATTTTCCCACCATTACTTTAGCCGCCAAAAAATATCATTTTTTATTTTTAATCACATTATAATTAAAGTCTTAATTAATTGTATTATTTAGTTCAAAATGTTAGTCAACTTTCTACTTCAAAGTTTCATGTTCTTATCATATATTTCTATTATTATTGATAAAGAAAATCTATTTGTATTATTTACTAACTTTTAAAAGTGAATAAATAAAGATATATTAATAAGCACTTTTATAAGGTATGATGTAAATCTTAAGAAAATATTTTTTTTGAAAAGAAATACAGTTATTAACTCTATCAATATTTTCTTTTAATAACTTCACCACACCTCTTTATTTCATGTTACTATTCCCTATTTTTCTTTTATAACGAGGGAAACACAAGATTGATGTTAAGATGAGATTAATGAATAAAATTAAATAAAATAAGATTAGATTAGGACCACACCACACCATACCACACCACACCGCACCACACCACGCATCATCGGCAGTCTGTTGTTTCTCTCTCTTGTTTCTCTCTCCTCTGTGATAATATAAATAAAATCTGACATCATATGATCCTCTCATCTTTCTTCCTAGTTTGTTTCGTTTCTGCGTCTTTTCCTCTTTTTCACCTTATTTTCACCTCACCACTTTTTTCTCTATTTCAATTCTTTTCTTTTCATTCATTCCCACGATAATTCTAGGGTTTCCTTTTCCCTCTTTCACCATCCAACAGCACTCCCAGGTACGTTCTTCTCTTCAATTTCGTGCCCTAGTTTCATTTCCTACCTCATCCTCCCTCCCATTTTATCCTTCTTTTTAGTCATCCCTATTTTGATTTCGATATTTGAATTACGTCTTTGATTTTCACAATTTCGTTGGCTTTTTTTATTCGTGTGATTGTGTATGTTGATTTTGACTCGTATCGTTTATCAGGTGGCATGTGTGGTGGGGCTTTGAATTTCAATTTGATTTGGGAAATATTTTTGTTGTTTTTCCCTCGTTTTCCTATGGGTTTGACTCCCAGATTGGGTTTCCCTTTTTTCTTTTTCTTTTTTCTTTTCCTTTTTGGTTTCCGAGAGATTGAAATGGTGGCTTAGTAATTGGGTTGTATTTATTACAGTCTTAGGGAATGAAGTTTGCTTTGGGTGTATTTATTATTGGTGGGTTTGTACAGGGATAGCGTTTGGGTGGGTTCTGTTTATTGTATTAGTGGAGGTGGGGATTCTGTGAGGATGACAGATTTTCAGCCTCTGCAGCAAAAGCCTGAATCTGCTGATTCCCATGCTGATTTTGAGCATGGATTGGAGAACTTTATGCGTGGTCAGTTGGATGATTGTATGTCATTTGCTTCCTGTAGCTCTTCCCGGGCACCCGAAGATGAGGACGACGAGAGTGATCAGCTAGTTCGGAGGAGAAGGAGGTCTGATCTTGAGGGGGACGATTTAGCAGAGTCGTCAGCAGCACGGAGGCGGCATTCAAGAATTTTGAGCAGATGGGCTGCTCGCCAGGCGCAGGAGATGATAACTACTATTGAAAGAAGGAATCGAGAGTCAGAGTTGATGGCGCTTGCAGGGTTACATACGGTGTCCATGTTGGACTCCTCTTTTCTGAGGGGGTCACAGTCTCCTAGTTCTGGCCAGGAGGGGACTGTGGAGAGGCCCAGCACTCAGGCATCTTCCATTCTGCAGATGTGGCGGGAGTTAGAGGATGAACATTTGTTGAATCGGGCACGGGAAAGGATGAGGGAAAGGTTGAGGCAGCAAAGGAGTTCTGATGCTAATACTAATGTGTCAAGTACTATGTCTGACAGTCGAGGCAGTGAGAATCGAGGGAGTTTGGGGGATGCAAGTGAGAGTGAAAATGATTATGGTACCTGGTCACATGATCAGATTGGATCACGGAATGCTCATGTGAATCGTAACGGGTCTAGCAGGGAGCAATCTCCCGATCTTGGTGAAGTTGAGAGGGAGAGAGTTAGACAGATTGTTCGGGGATGGATGGAAAGTGGTATTAGTGATCATTCATCTAATGTGAGCCAGAGAAACAACAACCACAGATCAGAATGGCTTGGAGAAACAGAGCGTGAGAGAGTAAGAATTGTCAGGGAATGGGTGCAAATGACTAGCCAGCAGAGAGGTTCACGAGGGAGTCGTAGGGATGCTCAAGCAAGTGAATCTGCTCAAGCTGTTCGGACCCGTGATATGGCAGCTGACCATGATGAGGGTCAGCCAGAGCATGTTCGGCGGGACATGCTGAGGTTGCGTGGAAGACAGGCTCTAGTTGATTTGCTTGTTAGGGTAGAAAGGGAAAGACAAAGAGAGCTGCAGGGTTTGTTGGAGCACCGTGCTGTTTCTGATTTTGCTCATCGCAATCGTATTCAGGTCTGTTGTGTACCCTATCAGAATTCAGAATTATCTTGCAATTTGTGTTTCCCCTGGTCATGATGTTGTCACTTCACTTAATGGAAAACCTTATCAGACTATGAAAGCAACTAGGTCTTACAAGAACTCATATTTAATTCAAGGCTCCAGTAATTTAAGTTATAGTAATTTTTTCAACTTCATTAAACTCTTTAGTCATGCATTATGCTTTGCCTTAATATGGAATAATCTGCATGTGTGTTCTTCTGTTCTCTGATATGTCTGGTACTCTGATTTGGACCATGGTTTTTCCCTCCTTGGGTATAGTTATATTTTGTTATTGGTTTTTCAATATTTAAGGTTCCCACATGTGCTGGAAAATTTGTAAAATGTGCTGTGGTGTTTCTTTTCTCTAAAATGTTTCTTCCAGTTCTTTTTATAAACTGAAATCCCCCTGTATTATTGCCTTAAAAATTACCATAAATGTTCTTTAAGAAGTGAGTATGAAATATTTAAAGATCACCAGCCAAGAGTGGCTGATATTTTGTTGCATTATAAAATTCAGAACTTTTGCTTGTTATTTTCTAGTTTAGTTCAGGACTTATTCAAGAGGTATTTCTGTGCTTTGTATTATCAAACCTGTACTTAGAAGGAAATTAATAAAAAAAAGAAATAACAGAATTTTGTATTTTTTTTTTTTGCTGTTGTGGAAAATGGGCCAAGTTATGAATGCTTATTATAATATATCTCCTTTTGTTACATGAGCTACTGCAGATTGTATCAGTTTTTGATTCATCAGTTTACTTCTTTATCTTTTATTCCCTCGCCAAATAATTAATAAATCATGCGACTTAAAAATATCTATGTGCATATGACTTGGTTGTTTTACTTTTTTCACCAAGTATACACCCTCTAGTTGTAAATTGACTATTTATACAAGATTATCATTTTCAGTCATTGCTCAGAGGCAGATTCCTTCGAAATGAAACTGTTGAAGATGAAAGGCCTCCTTCTACAGCTGCAAGTGAATTAGTTCAGTTACGACAACGACACACAGTCTCTGGTATAAGGTGTGCAATTTAATATTTACTTCTAGATATGTTCATTTCACTCTGCTCATCATTTGTTCAATCTAATTAGGATTATAATTTTTTTTTTTTTGGAGTTTTTTAGAACCTAAATTGATATGCATAGAAAAACTATGATTTTGCATCTTAGACACCTCCAACTCCAAGATACAAAAGGAAATTATCATGCTGTTTTATACTTTTAATAAAATTAGATTTTTCCCTATAAATTCATGTTGCGGGCATTGCTTTTTGTCTTTATATTTGACCCTTATGCTTTGTATAGTAAGTAACTTTTACTGACAATGGTGGATTTTTGTTTTACTCATCATTTTATTCGTTGTTAGTCTTGATATAAGAATTTATTTAGCTATTTGTTTCTTATTGATTTTAAACGAATTATTATTCCTATTTTGCAAAGAAATTAGCATTTTTTATTCTCAATCAATTTTTTTACTGATTTTATTATGGCAGGACACTTTTTAAGTTCCCTCTGAATTTCTCTTGAATTAATATATTTATTATTAATATATTTGTTTTATATATAATGAGCTCGTCTATGTTCTGTGGTTCAATGAGGCAAAGGGTTATACCAATTGTGCCCCCTTGGCTTGTTTCTACTCCATTTAAAAAACAAACTTTAAAACTAGTATATAGCTCTAGTTATAGCTATTCTATACATTTGTGGTAAATGGGTTTATGATCATGCATTTATTAGATTGTGACGTGTTGATGATTTTTGTTGAGTACAACTTATGCTTATTATCAACAATTAAATGGTGTGATTCAGGGAGGGGTTTCGTTCAAGATTAGAAAATATTGTTCGCGGTCAAGCTGGGCCCAATCCTGATGCCACGTCTAATAGTAACAATGATGAAACAAGACATGATGAGAACCAATCAATCAGTATTGGAGATGCCCAAGAAGAAAATCATGACCCAGAGCAGATTAGGGGGCCAGAAACAGACACTCGTCAGTTGCCTAATCAAACAGGAACTTTGGAGAGTAGCACAAGTGAGACTATTAGTTGGCAAGAAGCTAGTAATCAAGGAGGGGATTGGCAGGAACAGATTGCCGAAAATGGGGGAGAAAACTGGCAGCAGAGAATTAATGGTCCATTTAATCAGCTCAGAGATGGAAGGGAAGCCAGTGATTGGCCACAGGAAACTCCCAGAAGTTCAGCTGGAGAAGATCCACATCCACAGGAAGCTCAAAGAGTTTGGGAGGACCATAACACAAGAGAAGCTGATGGTAATTGGCCTGAAGAACCTTCTACAGCCTCAAGGAATCGCCGCGGTGTTCCTTTTAGAAGATTAAACAGATTTCATCCTCCTGATGATGATAACGTATACAGTATGGAGCTTAGAGAACTTCTGAGCAGGTATTTCTTCCTTTAATTTATTGAATTTCCAACTGGTGTGGAGAGATGAAAATAAAAGGTGTAATCCCAAACATGTCTAGATTTCCGTCGAAACACTTGTTTAACCCTTTCCAAAATCTAAAATAAATTGGCTATTTCTACCTTGATGTTGTACTGAACCTGGCATTATACTTCATTTATTGGCTTTCATTTTTTCCAGGCTTCTTGCCTTGTGATAGTTATTGATCTTTATATTCATGTTTCAGGCGAAGCGTATCTAACCTTCTTCGCAGTGGTTTCCGTGAAAGTCTGGATCAACTAATACAGTCATATGTTGAAAGGCAAGGCCGCGCTCCAGTTGACTGGGATTTGCATCGAAACTTGCCTGCAACGACTCCTGCCTCACCTGAACGAGACCCTGATCAGCAGGGTGATGAACGTAATGAGGGTCAGCATGAAGCAATTAACAGACCTTCACTAGTGTTTCCTCCTCCACCCGTGCCACCGCCGCAACCTCTGTGGCACCAAGACTTGCACCAAACTGGATGGTCTCGTCATACCATGCATCGCTCTGAAATTGTGAGCAATTTACTAATTAATTTTCCTTGATTACACGTCTTGGTTATGTTCGAAATATAGCACTTTTGAATCCTTTACCAAGAGTATTACCTATGGAATTGCATACAGAATATAATAGTTATATTTCTAATGATTATTCTTTTAACAAGTAATCAATTTAGGCTTCTATGCAAAAGCATTAGTTGTTACTGCTGCTTAGGTTCCCACCGATTGATGCTAGCAATTTATTAAGTTTGGTTTGGTTCTTGATGTTAATTAAAGTTACTTGATTAGTACCATGCTAAATGATTCAAAATATACTTCATAGATATCCAAGTAGCTCCAAGTTGAATATGTAAATTGAGAAATTATAAGTAGCATGAAAGCTCCGGGTGTCCACTGTTTGTGATCTCTGTTGTTAGGTCTTGGCTATTGATATGCCTTTCAGGCAAAAAATAGGCCAAGTTAATTGCCTTTTTCTTTATTTTATTAATCTTGTGTTCTCACCTCTGCCTAAATCCTTTACATATATGTGTACACTTATATGCTTTCATACTATATATTTTAGAGACCCTTTTAAATTACTGATTTTGATTATATCTGGGAGCAGGAATGGGAGATAATGAATGATTTAAGATCAGATATGGCAAGACTTCAGCAAGGTATGAATCACATGCAGAGGATGTTAGAAGCCTGCATGGATATGCAACTGGAATTGCAGAGATCTGTCAGACAGGAAGTCTCTGCAGCTCTGAACCGCTCAGCTGGTGAAAATGGTGTGATAATTTTTCTGTTCATTCAATGCTGTTTTTCATTGTTGTGTTTTGTTTTAATGAATTTTAGTCAAACATCTGTTGCTTAGTTCTGTTCATCTTTCTTACTATATCTCTAGTCACTCATTGTATATTAATCAATTTGTAGGATTGGGTGGTGAGACATCTGATGATGGATCTAAATGGGCGCATGTGAAAAAAGGAACTTGCTGTGTTTGTTGTGATAACCACATTGATTCGCTTTTGTACAGGTATTTACACATTATGCATACATAATTTGTGCTAATGAAATAAATTAAGCCCCATATTTTTGCAGGATCTAAATTATGAGTTGCTTTTTTCTGATAAGTGGTTTTCTAATTGTTTCTTCCTCATCAAATTTCAATTTCTTGCAGATGCGGACACATGTGCACATGTTCAAAATGTGCCAATGAGTTAATTCGTGGAGGAGGCAAGTGTCCTTTATGCCGAGCACCAATTGTTGAGGTGGTCCGAGCATATTCCATACTGTAAAAAGGAAAATTAGAAGTACACGGAAAAGAAGAAATGAATCTCGAGGGCGTTGGTCCCAGTTCTGGCTGTCTCGAGGTTCTTATGTATAAGTGTTCAGTAGATGTCTTGTTTTTCTGATTACATATGAAACTTCACGAAATGTAAAATTGGATTAGCAAATGGCTCTGTTAATTCATCATTCTTGCGTAAATAAATAGTTGGCCCATTTATTCTTTACAAATCTTTCTTCTACTGTAGATATATTTTCTTTGAAAATTCTGATGATATTTTGACTCAATGAGAGTGGAGAAGTAGTAGCATCTCGGAGCAACCTAGGCTGAAATTAGAACGACATTGATTTCCCTTGATAATATAATAACCAAACATCTAAAGCTGTTTGGTTACTACCTCATTTAAATCTTAGTAATGCCTTGATGGCGTGTTGGGAAAAAGATTTGCTGAGGATAATAACAATGACATATTAGGATGAGTGTAGTTTTGGTTATTTACATGCGTGCTACACGTAATGAGAAATACAAATTATACTAGTATTATATAGCTAGAATTGTTTTGCCAAGATATCAAATCAAAATGACTTGACATTGATAATGAATTTTGGACGGTTCCTCTAACTTTCTTTTAACTTCAATAATACTAATAACTACTAATATTACTCTTGAACTTTGATAATTTCTGGTTAAATCTGCTGAATAAATTCTAGCTGACTAGCTGAGTTACCGTGACTAACAAGTTATAAACAGAATTAATTATTGGCGTCAATGTGAAAGAAAATATGAATCTCTTGCAACTTTGAAAGAACTACCTGGAATACAATTTGATGTACTTGAAAACGAAGTTGTAATATGCATTGAAAATTTCTAGTGTTGCAGTCTTTGAAAATAATAAAACTTTAAATTAGCAACATTCTTATGACTTGTAGTATTATTGTACATCAAAAACAAACAGTGAACAAAGAGACTGCTGCGGGTGTAAACTGTGAATACCTGTGACAGTTTCAAATCATCCCAGGAAGTTGTAGAAGTACTGTACTACATTCTTTCTTTGTCAATGAATTGCTATTGCTTTTCATCTTTTTGCTTCAATCTTTTTTTCAAGGGCTTTAACTTTCTTCTGATACTCTTCATTCTCTTGTTGCAGAGAATCTTTCTTCTTGCATAACTTACCAATTTCTCTTGTCACTTGGGCAAGTTCATACTTCAACTGAGCATTATTATGCCATGAAGCTTCATTTGTGGTTAGATTCCATTCCAGACATAAAATCTTGTCCTCCAGCTCAACTTTACTACGCATGCAGTCCTCCAACTCTGATGTAATTTTCTCAGTGTTTGAGAGTCTTTGCATGTAAGATACTTTCTCTGCCTTCAGCATGTCGTACTCTAAAGACAGCATCTGATATGAAACCTCCAGTTTTCTGCATTCTATTTCTGCTTCACATAGTGATCTCTTGAAGATGAAGAGTTCATTTTGAAGCACTTCGGTTTTCTGAAGTTGAACTTCAAGTTCAGAAATTTCTTCTGTTGCTTGTAGCCTCTCTAGTTCAGAGGCTTTCAGCTCCACCTCGAGCCCTCTAATAACGCCCTTTAGTTTCTCTTCATTTGATTTGGAGTTTCCTAACAAAACAACTACTTTTTCATGATTAATCATCAGAGTTTCTCGGTCTTTAGTCATAGTGGCAAGCTCTTCAGTATAATTATGCACCATGACTTCATATTCTGCTTGAAGATTATCGAGCTTTGCTTTATATAGCTGTACTTTGTCCTGTTCTTCTTGAAGAGCATCTTCAGTCATAGCCTTATCAGCACATAAATCATAGACATCAAGTACAACCTTAGAGGCTATTGTGTTGTGTCGATGAAAGATGTCCGATATCTTGTCTGTTAGATGTTCAACCTCTCTCTGCAAGTTACTCACTTCAGCTGCTTTGTCCATATACATCTTTGTTAAAAACCTCTCTTCTATAGTAAACCTTTCATTCTGCTTTATGTTTTCCTGAATAAGTGCTTCTAGGTCTATATTTATGGTTTCTTCTTTCAAAGCAATTTCTTCCAGCATTGAAGTAAATTTGCATTCCAAGTCTTCCACCAGTTTCATTATATCAGAAAATGCAACATGTGTTTCCCCTAGTTTAGATTCCAATACTGTATATCTGTTGTGCAACGCCAAATTTTGCATTCTTAACTCGCCATTTGACATCTGAAGAGTTTTAGATACTTGAATCAAATTTTCATTTGTAGCTTGTAATTTTAAGTTGGATATTTTCAGAAAACCACACTCTTCTTGAGCTTCTATCCATTTTTTCTGTATGCTCTCCCCCATTATTTTCAAATCAACTTTTTGTCCCTCATTTATATTTTCCATTCTCCTGATCTCGGCCTGGAGGTATATGACAATATTTTCGGAATTCTCCAGCGCCAAATGAGTTAACGCCTTTTCTTCAGTCAAATGTCTCACTTCAGCTTCCAAGCCAGATATCCGTTCTGATAACTCTGCAACTTCAGTTTCTTGTTCAAATAAAGAATTTCGATTATCATCCGAACTTTGTTCGCCCTGAGGATTCTTCACATTTTTAAACGAAGTATCCTTTGATTCAAGCAACTTATTTAACTGGACAATGGTGCACAAGATTGCCTCAGTTAATTCCTTAAAATCTATTTTGCCATCAACTTTCGAAAGCTGTGATTCATTTTTGGTGATTGACAGAAGAAAATCTTGATCCTTCAGGTTTTCTACTGAAAGAAGAAGCTGCTTATATAACTCTAGGAACGCTTCAGTGATGTTGATAGCAGTATCAAAGTTAAACAGCAGAAAGTTTGAAGGAAATGAATCAGAAGTGACAAGATCCTCTCCAGACTCTCCATGCCTTTCACAAAATTCGGTTTCAAGATCTTGCACTCTTTGTGTTAAAGCTAAGATTTCATTGCTGAAAGCATTAACACCATCATGTAACTTCTTTTCGAAGTTCAAGATTTGTTTCTCTTTCTCCAAAGTTTGAGCCATACAACGTTTTGTTGCAGTTTGCATCTCTTGATCTTTCTCATCCAGAGTTTTCTCCAGAAACTGGATAGTACTTTCCATGTTTTTTTGTTTCTCCCGCATCTCTTGGCGCTCAGTTTCCTTGTTCCCAAGTTCTTGTAATTCAATCCCTTCATGCAGACATCTTATTGCATTTTCATTGCTACTGAAATCAAAACCTGAATGGTAGAACTCCTTTCTCATTTTCTCTGGCAAAACATCTATGCTCAAACTGAAGTCCTCTTCGTCACTATCTTCGTTCCCGTGACTATTATTTTCAACATCTTGAAAGTGAAGACTCTTCCTTGATAGATCAGCAATCACCTTTTTCTGCTTTTCTACTTTCTTTTCGAAGTTCCGGAAAATGGAAACAATATCAATGTTTGACTCCTGTGTTTTATTTAGCTTCACTTCCAAGTCATGGTTAAGTCCTTTCTGATAATTGATCTCATCTTTCAGCTTCTTAATGACATTATCCTTCTCTTCTATCTGAAACCTGATATTTCTGCTATCATTTTGTTTCACCATAGCGGTTAGTCGTTGAATTTCTTCCTTCAAATCACTGCTCTCTTTGCGTGATGCGGATAACTCCATTTCTAGATCTTTTTTATGCTTTGACTTCTTGTGTAACTCCTTCCGCAGTCTCTCCACGTCAGTCATCAGCTTCCTAGAACCTTCTTCCCACATCTTCACCTCACCGTGAAGCAACTCGATTGTTACTTGCGCTGCTCCGAGCATATCCTTAGACGAACAAACACTCGTCGTTGATGTTGTGTCACCGCCACGCGAAAGTTTCCCAAAGTCTTCCATTTTGTCTTGAATCTCTGTCCCTAAACTCAATGTTGCTGAAGTAGAGGATGCATGTCTCAGCGTCGAGGCATCATAGAGTGAATAGGGTCCATCGTCGGAGCAAGATGAATCTCGTCTCTCCTGCACATTGGTCTTCCATCCATTGACATTACTTTGTTGCGGTAAGTTTTCAATCCAAGAGGGAAAGGAACTGTCCAAAGAGCCAATGTCATGATCTGAACATGTTGTCAAAGAACCTCTTCTCTGAAACATCAGAAAGTGATTTTATAATCTTGAAAGAAAGCCAATCTGAACAAGAACTTATACCTTGAGGATAAAAAGTTATAAGTAGCTAAACAATCATTGTACCTTACTGCTAAGTTCTCCTGGATAAAATATATTTTCTAACTGGTCAAAATGTGAGGACACACTTGTTCTGCTGAATGTAGTGTCAGATGCATTGGATATACTGTCCACATCATCATTGCCAACACTCATTTCCTCTCCATAAGAATTTGCATCCTTCCTGTGCAATCTCATAAGAGTGAGTTCATATTTCATCTTCATAAGCTATGAAGTACGGACACATCCATAAGACCCGACACTAACACATCGATATCAGTAATAATTTAGAAAAATAAATAAACTAAACGTAATGACAATTGTCAATGTCGTGTTGGACACCAATGGACACAAACATAAGACCCTGACACGGATACATATTTTTTTCAAAGGTGTTGGTGCTACAAAGATCATAAGCATAAAACATACATGAAGATGAAAAAGATTAAAGTTGTTCCATAAACAGCATACCTGTAATTTTTTCTTGGTGTCAAACACTGAATTTTAACCTGAAAAACAACATATGATTATCGGTCAATCATCAATTTTACATAAAACTTTTCTTATGCTGCCAGCTTAGTGAATTTGTATTAACATATCATCAATCATAAACCTTACTTGCAAGATTGCCCCGCATGAAGAGTGTTGGGTCAAAGGCAATGACGCAGTAAATGTTTCTTGCCCAATGTAACTTGCTAAATTAATTGTAGCCTCCCCAAGGGTCCCAAACCTTGGAGATCCCTGCATTAAAAGTGAAAATAGAAATCATTTTTTGCTATAAAAGAGCAAACAGAATCTGCAGTCTAAGGTATAAAACCAAACCATTGCTACAAGAAGCTTAAGGAGGAAGCCTTGAT